TGATCACGAAGGATGTAAATCATGTAATAAGTAATCATCATTCGAGAATCATATATCTGAATATCAAAGTATGCAACAAATAGATTGTGTGAAAGTCAATAATTGATATGTACTGCCACCGAGCTATCCCGGTCGTGGCAAGCACAACAATATATATCATAGATATCATACCACCCGAGCTATCTCGGCCAGTGGAATGATCTTCCCACCCGAGCTATCCTGGACAGCGGGAAAAATGACCGGACTCTAACACGGCCAAATACGCACCATACTCGAGTAATCTCAGCTGATATGGGCTTAAGCATGCCTCCCCGGGTGAAACACAAAGTAACCACCGAGWAGCATGTATGGAAGGAYGGAGTGCAATAGYCAATAATCTCTTGAAATTGATAAGGAGACATAACATGGATGGGTGTGGAAGCAAGTAGCAAATAGATAACACATGTCTAGCAAATAGCAAGTTAAGTAGCCCCATAAACTCACAGTGCTTTTCGATACTCAAAAATCGAGCCAACTTAGGCTCTACGTCCATATATGTATAAACATCGTCCAACGGTCACTCTGGAAGGACCAAGTGAGCTTATTTAACACCTGTAATATGTACCCAAAGKTTCRTAAMKATYCGACAACAAAAACTTAACCAAACTTAATTTAAACTCATTTTAGGCACTATAATTCACAGCTCAAAATCAACTTTTTATCAATTTTTAGACGTAATTATAACCAACCTAGAAGCCTTATTTCTAAAAGGTGTCTAAAGGATAGGTTTAGATCTACATATAAGCTTTCTAAAATGTCTAGAATCGTAGCAATCCGAGCTACGGTTAAGAAGTTATCGCACATTCAAAACAGCATCTCGGATAGATTCGGTGCTGTCATATTCACCAATTAAATAGGCTAAAATCCATATTTTGGATTCAATCTTTATTCCAACAATCAAAATACCATCTAACCATGTTTATATTATTACTTACAAGATCAATACTTAAGAATTTCACCAAAATAGCCATTAATGAAGAAAATCAAAGTTCAATCTATATTCTTCATTTTCGAAAGCTCCAAATCATCAATCAAGCATCATAACAACTTAGTTAGGCTATAACCAAATCTAAATACAACATATTACTAACATAACTCATATTAGGTTTCATTGATTTCATCTCTAACTAGCTTCAAATCAAGAGATTAACCAATGAAATAGTTATACCTTAATTGGAGGATGAATTTGGCATAAAAATCAAGCAAAACCCCTTGAAACAACCTTGATTCACCCCTATGAAGCCAAAATCACCCTTGGTAGTAAGTTTTGGAGATGAGAGTCTGTTTTGGGTGAAAAAGAAGGTAAATAACATGTATAACCGACTTTTACGAGTTGGGACTGAGTTGACTCGGCTGAAAACTCGGTTTGACCACTAATCACTAAAAATCGTATAACTTTTCGCTTGGACCTCTGTTTTTGACGTGGTTTTCGCTCACGCGTTCGTAAAGAGATAATCTACAACTTACAATAGAAATATTTCAAAAATATCTTCCAATAAAAGTCAGTTTTTATGTATCCGTAACGTAGATATTGATGTTTTTGACCCGTTTCTTTCCAATTGTTTTGCCCCGGGCCTCGTATGATGATTCCGACTATTTCATATATAGTTTATTGCATTCGGGTTTGCTTTCAAATTTTACGTTTTGATCACATAAACACGTATAAAGGGGATAATTGCAACGTATTTGCGAAAGTGTATGTTACACTCATCTATTTATACCCATTGCTTTAAATGCACATTTAATGCAATGTAGTAGGGTTTGAACACACGTCAAGATTTTAGAGAAAGTCTTGTCCTTTGCTAAAGTGAATAGTGCAAAAGCCTATTCATGAGCAGACATCCTTTCATGGAGTTGGTGGGTAGTAGAGTCAACTAATCGGCTCCGTACCGTACTATACTCTAGAAAGGGTATGTGTTTGTCCTTTGTGTATGGAAGGACAAGACAAAAGCAATATTGCACAACAAGCTTCATTTGATCGCTGAATGTTGGAATAACCATGAAGGTCTCTTCAGCATTCGCTGAGGCTTGGGCAGTTTTCACATATATGTTGACCAGGTTGTAATCACTGAATGCCGCTTCAAATCACGAACATGCTAGTTACTAATCTCCAGTTTCAGTCTTCGACTTTCGCTGAAGGTTCTTTGGTGTGAGTTTTGTCTTCTTGAAGTATCACTGTCGCTGATGGATTTACAATACATGTTTCAACGATCACTAAACAGACTTAGTGATGATCGCTGGAACTGAAAGACAGAAACATAATACTTCGTAAAAGGTAAAAGAGATTATCATCAAATCAATAAGAGAGATGATCAACAAAGTTGTTGTTTTTGTATTCACCCCCTTCTACAAATGTTACCTATAAACTCTTGTAGATCCGTTGGGACCAACAATGTCGTGTCAAAAGATTATTGGATCTGACAACATTCATATTACATAAAGAAGTTAATAAATCGACCAAAAGCAGTGTGCTAAGCCTCGTTTGAATAAAAGATAGATTAAATACACGTCTATCTATTAATTTTAGTCCTGCATAAATTAACATTAATACTTACTTTCTATATTTTCAATATATAATTTAATTTGATTATGATATACCCATGAACAATAACATTGGTATTTACAAGTAAGGTTGCACATGAGTTGGGTTGGCCGGGTTGAAAACATTTAAACAACACAACTCAATGTTTGCAGTTTGAAAAATCTCATTCCAACCTAACTCAATCAAAACTACAACCCAACCCGTTCAGATTGGGTTGAGTTGGTCGGGTTGAATCATTGGTACATCATTTTATAATCTAGCTTAACGTTTTGTTTAAACGAAATAAAAATCAATATGAGAACATACAAAAGGCTAATAGGTTCAAAAAAGATTGAAATTTCATGTAAATAAGAAAGTAAAATTACAGTTGAAATTGTAATATAATTTTGAAGATAGCTAATTATGGTTGGTCCAATGTCTAATATATACATATATTAATCAAGAACTTAACAACCATACTAAATTCGTAGTATTGTTTAGGCATTGAGTTCAAATTACCTCAACCCAATTTCAATCTAATAGATGCAATTTGGTCTAATTTTATATGAATTATGCGTCGGATTACATAGAATTGAAGTTTATTTTGGATTGAGGGGCTATTTGGCAGTTGCTGAGAATGGTTTGGTGTAAAATGATTAAATGATCAGAATGATTAAGAGACTCTCATGATATAGTACAAAATGAAATATAATTGTTTAATAATTATTTACAATGAAATTAAGATATAGAATGATCAAAGAAAACTAATGATACAAAATCATTTAAAAATTTTTAGAACTACTAAAAGAAACAAAACAAGATTATTTTTGGACGAAGACTGAAACATAATAGAACTATTAAAAAAACGTGGGTTTCTCGGTATTTTGAGCAGGCCGTGGGAGGTCCGTTAGATATTTTAGACCGAGCGCACGCGCGCGAAGCAGTATTAGCGGCGCCAGACGGACGTAGACATGCGAGAGACTCACGTCGAGACGTTAAAGACGTTTCTTAACACGCAACCCTCACACTCTCTCTATCTTTCAATATATATACGTCCATTACCTCCTTGTTAACTTACAAATCCCTAAATTAATTTCATATACTTAAGAATCTAATCAACTGTTCCACTTTTCCCTCCTCATGCGAGTTTGATTCTGTAAGTTTTCTTGTTCCCATCTTCTTCTAATTCACTTTCAATCTGATTCATCACGATGATAAAATCCTTTTCGGAAATGATTTCTGTTTTCTTGTTATAATTTCTGGTTATGAAGATGAACAGCATGTTTTAGCTGTAGATGAATTCAACATAGGCTTACCTTTTATGTTTTGAAGAAGATTTTACCCTAATCGGACTGCATGTGTGATATCTAAAGGAAATTTAGTTATCGTTTGACCTCCATTTCCCATTTCACATAAGTTGTATATTTCGATTTTGAAGATGTTTGATCTTTATTCCTGAAGAATGGGTGTCAATTAAATATAGTTAGCAACTTCCTGATACCGCATAGAAGTTGGACGTATATATCAAAGCTGCCTCGGACAATGGAAATACGTTAGCATTGATTTTGGATTGACACATGTTTTTTTGAAGGTCAAGGTCAAATTTATCTCTTTTTGTATGGCAGAGGGGTTAGATCACTGTTAGATTGGTTATCCTAACCATTGTATTTCACATTTAGACATTTAGTTCTTACACAACATCATACTATAAAAAGCAGCTCAAAGCATGCTGTATTTGGTAAATGAGGTGTTAGTGTTTACAATTTTCTATCATTTAGGGTGGTTTTGTGTTCTTTTCTGCAAGCATGATCACTTAAAAGTGTAGTGCCATGTAGAATGATTCGAAATGCTAATTGCTTCTTATTCTCGCTCCAAAAGTGTATAGGTTTTGTTTCAGATTAACAATGTGTACATAGATTTGAATGCTAAAAGTAAGTTTTTTTCTTGCATGGAAAGTTGGACCACATGAGACTTAGTTGGCCGTTGTAATGACTTGCAAAGGTTTTATTGTAGTGCAGTGTTCATAATTACAATTAAGATAAAATGGCTCTATTCAGAGGGCATTCAGCTGCACTCATTGGAACTGTGGAAGTCACGTGCTACCATAATAATTTGCCAACAACACTGATAAAACCAAGTTGCTTGCCCCAAATGCGGACAACCTTTGACTCATTTTGGAGACGAAGATCACAAATCAAGTGCTCATTGTCTAGAGAAGCTCTACCTCCACTGGAATTCGAAGAGGATGCTAGTGTGTCTACATCTGATTCTTTGGAGGGAGAAGAATTCAGCCATGTCATGAAGTTTAAGTCTTCTGATTTCAAGATCAGTGATCGGGTTAGCATTGGCCTAGGTGGACGGGTATGGAAATATTTAACTTCTTTGTGATATATATTGCATTATGAACTTCATATTGCACTTTGATCCGCTGTGCTGTCTAATTGGAGTCTATCTGTAGGGGGACGAGGCTGTTTTTGAAGCAATAATCAAGGATGCTGATAGGTAAGCTTTTACATGGTTAAGGTTTGTTACATACATGTGGAAGTTTAACTTTATGAAGCTGCAGCCCTTTGCATAACACGAGAGTGGTGCTTCGACGACTTACTAGTGCTCAAGCACAACGCAGAGGAAAACGTGCTATACAGGTGCTTGGCTGTATTAATTGAGAGTTGGCATTTTTCTTATATGGAACAATGAAATTTATGCCATAAAAATGGATGCAGGTGTTAAAGAAACTGGCTCGTCGTAAACTGATGTACCATTCTTATTCAATGCAAGTTCATGGCTACGTGTGTTCCCCAGCAATGGAGCATGAAGGCTCATTTACACTTGTTCATGGGGTAGGTCTTATTAAGTGAAGAATTCGGTGTTTTGGTTTTACATGCGTTCAGTTAGTGCTGAAAAGCATGGAGGGTAGACAGTAGACCACTCCATTTAGACATGAATAACCTTCATTTCTGTGATCTAGAAGAGGAAATGCCTATCTTACCTTTTACAGGTTTTAGAAATCATGGATTTTTTTTTTCAGTATCATGGTAGTTTTTCTTTGAGGCACTGGCTTCGACAGACGGATTGGCTCCCGACATTAGAAGCTACTCTTGCTTTAGATGAAGAATCTGTGAGAAGGGTGGGTGATGATACAGTTGGTGGCCCTGCTGTCTCCCGCCAGCTGCGTGTTACCAGAATTGTGATGAGAGATCTACTGATTGGAGTATGTGTATCTGTTACTCTGTGTGTGTGTGTGTCTGCACATAGATGCAGTTATACCATGGACAAGGCATTGGAATGATCTTTAACGTTTATGTTTGATTTTCTACCTCAGGTAAATTACTTACATAGTCACGGACTCGCCCATACAGAGTTGAGATTGGAGAATGTTCACATAAGTCCAGTTGATAGACATATTAAAGTGAGTCTTAAGCTTTCTCAGTTGTATAGAGCTAATACTTGCTATTTTGCAGTATGCACTTGCAGCTTCTTTTGTTTGAGGATATTTGCATGCCAGTTTTATTTGCTTGAAGTTGGACCAACCTTATGTGCTTCCAAAGACTTGTTCAAATAACAATTAAGGTGAAGCAGGGTCAGGAACGACGAATCTGTTTATGATAAACAGATTCGTTTTGCAAGTTCGTTATTACGGGTAGTTCCTACAAAGGATCAGACTAATGACGTATACAATACTTGAATTCTCGGTGTAGATGCTACATAGTTGGTTCTCATCCTTCAGAGACTACGAGTGTAATAGGAGCATCCGTCGACAAAAGGACTTTGGGCTCAGTAGTGTAAAAACTAAATATGAGTTTATGTTTCTTTCTTCTATTTCAGAAAAGAGAGAATGAAACTAATTCTGTCACATAAATCATTCTGAGTTGCAAAGTGATAGGACCTGAAGTTGGGAAAAAACTATAATTCTAGCAAACTGTGTAAAAGGTACAACCCTTACCAAAGATTGTGATTTTGCCATTCATCTCAATCATCCGTTCATAAAATGGTTAATTCAAAGCCAAGGTGGTAGGTTACGCATAATTGCGCTCATGTTATGTTTGCAAGGTCACTTTCAAAGTCTTACCTTTCTGCTGATGATATGAGAAGAAAAAGTAAGAAACGATCAATTTGACCAAATTTTTTGAAGTACTTCTCTTGATGGAGAGTAAATAGTGATACATATATCTTCCCAGTTCTCATTAGTGCAAGGCTAAGTAGTCCTAAGCAGTAGTGCTCCATTTGTGCGAAACTATTGGTAAGATTATCATCTTTCAAACTTAGAAATACCTGAAGTAAAAGTTCATAATCTTAAAGCAGTGGTATACAGATATGCTTAGTAATAGTTTAATTATAATGTTATATTATTATGACAATTGCATTACAACTTCCACTTGTTTGCTGATGTTCCTCGTAACTGTGCAAAGTCAATAAATGTTTCTTTTTAATATGACATTTAAATGGCCAAGTGCTACCACTCCCATGTAGAAGTTATGAACCAAGTATAAAGTACCTTTTTAGGTAGAAAGAGGCATAGACATGTTTGGTAACTTTCTAATTATCATGTAAAGTGTTTTCATTGGTTTGATGATCATGTGATGTTTAATCCGACAGATGGAAACCTTTGTGATGCTATGAAAATCTTTCATCTTTTTCTCTCACATCTTTCTTCAGATATCATCGCTAATTTGTAATCTGAAATTTCAAATCATTTACTTTGCATAATGATAGGAATACTAGGAGCAACAGTGTTTCTTTTGATGCATGCGTCTGTGTGATATATCACCGCTACTTGTTTTCTTATAGTTCTTCAATTTTCTTTCCCAGGTAGGAATATTTGGAAATGCTGCTGACTTTTTAGAGGATGGTCCAAATAACATGGACAGGCAACAAATGATGATTGCATTTGACATGAGGTATGCAGGAGAGAGAAATGAAAGGGGAAAGGAAATTATCCTGTGCTATTTTTCCACTCATGTATGGGAGATCTTCATTCTAATCTTATATTAAATTAGATGTCTTGGATTCATCATGGTAAAGATGGTATTGCGGGAACTTATGGATCCGATTATCTTCACGAAGTTCAAAGCATTCCTCAACAAGGTAAGTTATCTGTCTTCATACTTTCTAATGCTTTTTTTGTTTGTTAAAAGGGCTAGGAGAGGGGAACAGAGAAGTTTGAAGCTTCACTATTTTGCTGTGAATACTAGTCCAAGTTTAATATGCTGCCTACCTAACAAGTGACTAAAATAAATGACTGTATATTAGGATAGTCTTCAAACACCTGACGAGGCATGGTGAGAGAAATATTAATAGGGTGGATGAGGAAAGAAGGTGCAAGACAAGAAGTATAATATCGCTCAACTAACTTTATATTATGATGATAGTGGACCTTTTTTGTGATAGACGAAGTAGCATATTACCGGAAGAGTATATTAACCAAGGGGGACACCATAGGTAAATACAAGCCAGCTCAAAGCCAGGTAGACCTCACTGAGAATACTCTCAAAGATGTCCCATGTAACGCTCAACCCTATACCTCACATGTTATAGGAACTTTTGCTGCTACACCCCTTCCTACTGGGCTTACACAATACTTCCTTAACAGGATAATTCACATGCTTGAAAATACTTGGTTTTGCATACCATGGAATATCCATCTTCACATCATTATATCATGCATGACCAACTTCTGGAGAAACCCCTTGCTTTACCAGATGCAAAGCAGTGCATGCTTCTGTTAAGAACATGTTCCCTGAGCATTCAACCAGTATATTGCTTTTGTAGGCGTACATTTTAGACTATGCAGCATGTTGTTTACTGCATCACTGCTAAAGAGTGATTAATTCATCATATCTTTTTGGACTTGGAACTTATATGAAATGTAATGAAGGCACTGCTCACATGTGGTTCAATAATGTTAGCTTTTGTACAAGATCAAACTAATATCGATCTATTCTCGTTATCTTTGCAGGGAAATGATCCTTCCTGCTTGCGTGAGTTCCTACTAAGAACTTTGAACAAGAATTCATCACATGGAAATGTTGGACTGCAAGTAAGTATGCCTCTCTTTGACATAAATGTCTGTACTTGCTCCATTTCCTTCCCCAATATGTTTGAAAAGCTGCTTGTATGATATCTTTATTGCAGATGCTGGATAGGAACTGGGGTGCGGGCTGGCACCTGCTATCATTGCTTCTTGCAGCTAAACCTCTCGATAGAATAAGGTAACCAGCCCCCAGCAAAAAAGACTTGGAAATGCCTGTATGTTATGCTAATTTGGCAATCGCTAAAGCATAATTCTAATTGTTATGGGACTAGCTTCTTTACAATCAATATATTATCTATTACACGTCAAGACTTGGTAGATTGGAGATCCATATCACATAATGGAACCCCAATCGTGAGAACTTTTTTGTCTATGGTGGAAAATAATTCAGTATTCATCAAACACAATTCATGAAGAGGCTTTTTATTGCAAGTTGAAAGCATCCATAGAGCCACGTCAAGAAGTTGGACTCATGGGGATAATAGTATAATTCACCCGATGTTTGAGTCCTTCCCCTTTTCTCATAAAAATGTAACAGTTTTGCAAAAGTTTTTGGATGCCCTAGGAAATTGCAAATTTGAAACATGTCCTCCTTTCATAGTTTCTAAGTTAAAATTAACTATTTTCCAATTATCATCTTACAAGTAAATTGATGGTAAAAGTTCCCTTGTTGTATTGAAGGACATCTTAGATATTTGACAACTAGTCAAAACATTTCGCTTAAACTCTATGCCAAGTCAAAAGTTATAATCTTCATGGAATGGATCAATTAGATGTTTGCATTGATGATGATCATATTTATCATTTTTCTAACTCATGTTTGAATGAAAATATAATTTCTTCCATACACAAACCACTCAAGTTTTTTTATGTTACCAAATTATGCAAGTGTAAAAATTACTCAGGATTGAGGTATGGTGTATGAAATTTTTTGTTTGGAAACATCGCCTGTTAGCTTGCCCCAGGCGAATCTATGAGGTAAAATATACTCCCGAAGTAATATATGGAATTTATGATCGCATTATATTATATACCCTTCAATCAGAACAATTCAGCATGCCTGAAAATGGTGAAAATGCTGCGGTAAGTTCTATTCCTAGAATACCAGAAGAGATGCTTGTGTTATACTCCAAAATTGAAACATTTGACTGGTTGTATGGATTTATAAAATTCATTTGGCCGCCGTTTTGCAAATATCTTAAATGCCCTCCTATATATGATAAAATGAGGAAATCTTGTCATCTGGAATCAATGACATTGCCGTCAAATAGCTTATTCTTAACTATAAACCAAGAGAGGGAAATGTTGTAGTTTTTCATTGTAATTAAGATTAGTGTATATCTTGCATAAGTAATGTGTCTGGAGTATGTTGCAGATGTTTAGATGCTCTGAGGCACCCATTTCTGTGTGGACCGAGATGGCGGGTAAACCCATCTATGGACATCATCAGATGGAGCTTGGGATCAACTGCAGTTAGAATTACTGAGGAGTACATATATGGCCAGCAACAGGTTTGCTTCTTTAAATAAAGCTAGCTCTATCTTGTGATGATAAGAGGAAATCATGATATATTTATCGATTATCTCATTTTTTTAATGTTACTTCTCTCCATTATCTATCATCTGCTCAGTAGTTTTCTTGGTTTCAAATGTGCAAGTAGCTTTGGAATTGAAATCAGATGTATCCAGAACCTGTAGGTTTACTAACTGGGCATAATTTTTTGTCTGTTTCAGCGGATCAGGCTTGCTCACTTCCTCGAGTTAATGGAGATGTTGAATCCTTATTCGAAGCCAAAGGTTAGTAAAACCATTCTCTTTATGCTGAAGTCCTTGTCACCAATGCACTCACTAAATTACCATATATGTCCTGTTAAGATTTCATAAAACCTAAAAGAGAAACATGTTCTATTCAAAAGGTTATGGATGGGCTCCTCAACTTTTTGAATATTTTTGTATAATTATGAAGTTTCTTAGACTTATAAAACTATAGTAGTTGAGATCTATGAATGCTAACCAAAAAGGGAAGTCCCTATTCAGTTCTGGAGTCCTACATCACGCTTTTCCATGTTTGGGAGCAAAAATCACATGACACTCTTCTGTTTGATTAAATCATTAGTCATAATAGGAACACATCTGAATTGCAATCTATAGATACTTTGAGGGGCGTTTGGTTTGCAGGATTCCTATGGAATTTGAAGGAATTGAAATGGCCAATCCCATTCAGACAATTGGTTTGCGTGTGGAATACTATTGAATTCCACATATTCCACTGTTCAAGGATTTTATTGTTCCATTGTATATATGATGGAATTCAAATCCATTTCTACCTTTAGTTTTTTGAAAAAAAAGATAAAACTAACGAAAAAACCCCTAGATGTTCAACACCTCCACCACCCTCACTGCTTCCCTCACCCTCACCCTCACCGCCGCCCCCACCCTCACCACCCTCGTCACCGCCACCGCCGCCACCGCCACCACCACCACCACTACCGCCAATTAGCAATATTATTAATTTTATCATTGTATAGGATCTCTAATTCAAGTAAGAAACTACATTTTGCTAACCGAACATGCTGATTTCAATTCCTTTGAGAGATTTCATTCCAATTCTTGCCAACCAACTACCAGGCGTGCGATTGAACTTCATTGAATTCAATTCAGATTCCTTCTAATTTCAAATTTTTTGATGAATTCTAACTCCATTATATTCTATTCTGTGAATCAAACTCCCACTCTGTTTTCTTTGAGGTTAGGGATTAGTAGATTTCTTGTGTAGGATCGCATTTATATTGGAGGCTGTAAACACTCCTTTTGTCTCAAAGTTAGGGCTTAATGGTGTGTTCCTTGGGGAGCTGATTCTGGGGAGGGATGTGTGTTTCCTTAGTTTTTTTATATGTTTCATTGTGTCCTTTCTTTCTTTTTACTAGTCTTGCTTCTTCTTTCCTTCGCTCACACTTTGCACAAACCTGGGCTTTTCACGGAAGTAGCTGCTCTACCCTTTGGAGTAGAGGACAAGTCGACATACATCCCCCACCATGCTTTCGAACTAGATATACTGGGTTCGTTCGGTTTGGATCGGTTTAAATTTGGTTTGGTTAGTGGTTTCAAGCAATATGCCTCCCTCTCCTTTGTACTGGTTTCCTATAGGGATGTAAACCTAAATGTCTTGTGTCTATTTTTGGCCTGGTTATCTGCCACAATAACTAGTTTAATCTGTTGTGCAGAACTGGCTTGGGTTGCTACCTGGAAGATGGAGATTGGTGTACTGCACCGGGCGGCACATAGGGTTAACGACTCGCCAGCCACCTTCACGTGTGCTCATCGGCAATGTGCACCTTACAATAACCGAACCATCAAAACCGAAATCAGCATTTTCATTCACCTCCGACATCGGCTTCCAGGTCCTAGTCGGCAAGGAGTGGCCGCACAATAAAGTTGGCATCGACGGAAAACTTAAAGTAACATCCGCATTCCGATTAACCACAGGAGAACGACTTTACACAAAAGAAGAAAAGGGTACCGGAAATCTCCCATCAGTTGCAACCAACGCCCAAGATTCAGCGATCAAGAAACTCTCTGGTAAAAAATGGAGAAAAGCACTACGTCATCGAGAGTTACCCTCGAGTCTACCGGTGGCCAAACTGGTGTCAAGTGAAATTGACGTGACCCTAGCATTAAACGAGCCATTGACCAAAGACATTGACTCTGCGCAGGTTGCCATTAATGAAGTTCGGATGCAAATTCCACCTGAAATGTTTGATTTGTCGAAGATTATTTGCAGCACGTACATAGATTCGAGGATGCTGGTTGTTCGTGGTGTCAATGGCTCGGCGCTCTTGTTTACACGGGCGTGTAGCATCGAATAATGTGGATGTTGTGATATATCGTATTTGTGGTAGATTGTACATACGTAGACATTACCGATAACGATGTGTTTTTATTTTTTTTAAAAAAGTAATGGAGTCAGATGTATAGTGTTAATAATTGTAGACGTTCGAATGTTAATAGGAATCGTAAAAATCACCAAGCCGGCCATTTTTGTTTAAAGAGTTGATCAAATAGCCGAGTTCTTAATTTATCACAAAAAGACGGGTAAATTTGCCAATATGATCGGTCATGTTGACAAATATGTATAGTTGATCAACTTTTTAGACAAATTGACTAATTTGGTCATTGATGATTAACCATAAAGAAATGTTGGTTGTATGGCGGATCCAGAAATTTTTATAGTTAGGGATATACTTAGGAATGTAGATATTTTTTTGTAAAACCAAATAATTCATCCGGATGAAAATGGTTTTGAGTTTTCCTTTTCGACTTTAATGGTTTATTTAACCGAATAAAGATAATTTATTCAGGTTGATTTTTTACTAATTTATCAAGGTAAATATATAATTTTTATATTTTATAGTCGAACGAAAATATCAGTGCATGCTGCAAATTGACCAATTAACAATCTGGATATCAAGTTGGGTTTTGTCCTTGTTGGACGCACAATTATTAATTTTTCTTAACAAATCTTTTTATAGTTTTTATTTATTTATAAAATTGATGGGTTTGTTGGGGGCCTAGGACCCCTACCAACATAAACTAAGGGGTCGTTTACCGAACACTTACCCGGGTAAGGGCTTACTAAATCACGTTACCTTACTGGATGAATATGATAAGGACCAAGAATCTTACCCGGTAAGAGCGAGACAAGGACCATGAGTCTTACCCGGTAAGTGAGGGCGATGACTTTTACATGGTATAGCGTTTACCGGGTAAATTGTTGTATACAATGTCGTTTAGGTGAACTAAAATCTTACTCGATAAGTAAATAGTAGTGTTAAATTTTACCGGTAAGCACTAACTGGGTAAGTGTTTGGTAAACGACCCCTAAATCCACCTCTGGTTGGTCGTCTGGCTAGACTTGCTTTTACTATTGAAAATCGAAATTTAATTATGGATGAATAATTGTATAAGAGTAAGAGTTAAGATTAAAAGTGTAAGAAGGGATTTGAACCGTTGATCACTAAACTATAAATTACGTTTTACATGAGAATTGATCTAATGTTTCTCTTCGATTAGGATTAATCCAAAAATGAAAATCCTTTCTTACCCTTCTCATTACAACTTTCGTTCTTGTTAAATCCAACCCATTAATTATAATCATACAACTTGTTACTTGCGATAACAAATGGCTCCTAAAAAGTTGATGGCCATGGTTTCGTATATATGTTTAATGTAAATCTGTAAAGATAAATAATATTCTATTAAATGTTTTAATAATATAATTGATGATAACTGTATTAATTTTTTCTTGTAAAAATTTAATATAAATCTTTAAAGATTTTGGCTTTTAATACTGTATTTAAAAAAAAATATAACATAAATATTGAAGATAATTTAATTAAGTATTAACCAACCATTTCATCTAAAAAAATCTTTAATTTTATATTTATATTTTATTTTTGATGATGTATTTTTACATGATCTACTGATAAAATCATAAAATAAAAGGAAAAGAGATTTTTATTTTTCGGTAGAATGATAAAATGTAAATGATTGATTTGTATATTTTGTAAAATATTTTAATATTATTTAATTATATTATTTTTTGTTTATGTTTAAGATTCAATTATGAAATGTTTTAACTATTTTAATGAAATTAATTAATTATCTTATATTTTAAAGTAATTTTATTAAAGTATACACAAATTCAAATAACAAAAGTAAGACTTTTTGTTGCAATTTTTTGTGCCAACAAAAGTGTAGAGAAAATAGTCAAGTATAAATTATTAGCAAAAGTTTCATCAAAAAAGTCGAAACAAACTTTTGACGGCAATCTTTTGCATCGGCAAAAGACACCAAAGTGCTAGCAAAAATTGACGCCATGATCACATGAGACCATTTTTTACCAGTGACTTTTGTTGCCGGCAGAAGTGAATTTGATGGGGGTGCCTTTTATTCTATGGCAAAAGTCTCATCACCGACCACTTTCTGCCAAAGATCTTTGCAATTCTGATGGTGAAAATTTAAGTTTTTTGTTGGCAAAAAAATCCTATTTGTTTTGGTGCTATCATCTTGCAACAACCCTTCTAGTTATCCAATTGTCATTGCTTCCAAATCCTATGATTTTCAATAACCATGACAATAATTTGTAATCTAATATGGAGAGTATCTTCTATGTTATCCTTACGTCTTCCAATGTCTACCTATTTCTCTTCAAAATCGAATGGAGACAACTTAGACTATTGTAATATGATCTCAAAATAAACTCGAATGATTCCAAATACGATTCAAGTTCACCCTTATATATTCAAAGATGTACCTCTTCTACTTGTTTGGCTTCTTTATGAGAAGTTTGTAACTTCTTCTATAATTTTTGTTGGAGGTTGCATTAGAAACATTCTAAAGCCATCATCATTTAATGCCAGATAAATTAGAAAAAAAGAGCTTTCTTTTTCTTATCTCTCAAATTCCCCTTTTGTAGATTGGTTAAAAGCTCTAAAAATTTTCTCAATTATTTCCGACATCATATGCATCCAAAAGATCCTTCATTTTGATACACAACCGTATCATGTATAATTGTCCTTTTGGGTCAGAAGTTACGGACTCGAAATTAGAGATGCACAAGCTATTTTGGGCCTGGGCCCAGATCTCTAAGCCCATTTTTGGTGAACAAATAAATGGTTTTTTTGGGTTTGGTTCGGGCAGGACTTTTAGGTTGAAAAAGAGTCCAATTGGGCTTTCATATAGGGGTTTTTTGGGCTTCTTCTTCGGGCTTAACCAGACTTTTACAGTACGTCGGAAGAATTTTGTGATGGCAAGAGACCTTGCTAAGGGATTACTAAATCTGTCGTGCATTAAGGACTTGTATGTACGCTTATGGGTTTGTACTTATGTGCATTTTAAAAAAAAAGCTCAACGCTCACTAAACAAACTCAGTGGCTGATATTCACTCATATATAACTTAAATACATACTCACTAAGTAAACATAGTCATCATCAAATTACTAAGAGAGTTTGGACCAAAACTAGTATATAACATGACATACATAATAGTGCCGATGGTCAGAGCTTAGGGAACACCCTTCTACGGTTCTTATTCTCTTTGTACTAAGACAATGAGTCTTGCTCAATTATATGCCATGTACCATTGGCAAGTTTAAGCTCTTGGAACCCTCCATCTTGAAGCGTTTCAAGACCTTGTCAATATATGTACTCATGTTTAATCCAATTAAGTGCTTAGATCTATCCTAATAGATCTTTATGCCAAAGATAGATGTGTTGCCTCTACTAAATCCTTCATTCTCGATAATCAATATGTCGTCAATATATATGATCATGAATACACAAGGTTCATGATCCTTGATTTTCACATCAAAAAAGAAGATTCCAACTACGAGATGCTTACTTCACTTCACAAATGGACCTCTGTAACTTACACACCTTTTCAGGATACTTTGGATGTTTAAAATCTCCTGGTTGTACCATGCACATGTCCATAATCAAAGTTTCATTAATGAACATGGTTTTAACATCTATTTGCCATATCTCGTAAGCATGATACGCAACTATGGCAAGAAGAATTATGATGGAATTTAATTATAGCTACTAGAGAAAAAGTTTCATCATAATCAACTCTTTGAATTTGAGTGAAATTTTGTTGTACCATCCTAGCTTTATACGTATGCACAATCTCATCCATGTTATTTTTCTTTTTTAATGCCCATTCGCACCCAACAACTTTGCAGCTGACAGGTGTATCTATCAAGTTCCAAACTTGGTTTTCTGACATGGATTGTATTTCACTTTCATGATGCTATTTATTAGATTCCAAACATGATAAGGCTTCCTGATAGGTCATTTGTTCTTCATGAACTGTGTCATCACTGCCAATGAGATAATCATATCTCTCAGGATCTTGACGATTGCTACTCAATCTTTGGATTGTTTGTATCTCACTAGTTCCCTCAACAACCTGTTGAGGTTCAACATCTTGTTGAGTGTCAACATCATGTTAAGTGTTATTGTTAACTATTATCTCATCTTGTGGTTCTTGAATTTCTTCAAGATCTACTCTATCCCAGTTGTGGTTCATGTTAGAAAATCATTTTCTAGGAACTCATAAGGGCCACAACATGTACTTTGTTCTCGCTAGGTTTCTAGAAATAATATATGATTGTCTCTTTTGGATATCCCATAAAGATGCATTTTCAGAACTTGGATCGAGCTTCCCAGAAGCTTCTCGTTTACTATAGGTGACACAATCCTATGTTCTCAAATAAGGTGATTTTGGGATCTTCCCAGTCCATAATTCATATGGGGTATTTTATGTCTTCTTGATTGGTGCATTATTTAGTGTGCATGTAGCAGTTTCTAAGGCATATCCCTAGAAACATTTTGGCAGAGTGGTATGACTAATCATAGAGCAAACCATGTCCAACAAGGTTATGTTTCTCCTTTCAGACACATTATTATATTGAGGTGTTCCAGGAGGAGTTAGTTGGGAAACAATCCCATAATCTCTAAGATGATCAATAATATCTTGATTCGGATATTGACGACCTCGATCTGACCGAAGTGTTTTTATTTTCTTGGCAAGCTGAGTTTCTAGTGAAAACAACTTATGACGCAATAATTTGACACATCAATGACGATTCGACGAGACATCGGGGGTGATTTTCAGTGGTATTTTGTCCTTTTTATGACCAGATGCAATATATATAAATCTTGTAGTGATTCAAACACTTCTACTCTCACAACCCTTATCCCGCCACCATGAACATACATAGAACCATTATCACTTTGATGTGATTTCATATTTGTGGTAAGAGTTGTGTTGATAGATTATGCTTAAGAGTTAGGGGTTATGAGAGTAGAAATGTTCAGATCACTACAATTTTATAGAGAATACTACAATATATATATATATACACTACATTTGATCCTAAAAAAAGACAAAATACCAATGAAAATCGCACCCGATGTCTTGTCAAATCGTCATTGATGTGTCTCAAGTCGTTGCGTCATAAGTTG